AAGATCAGGCAATAGTAAGAGCAGCAAAAAGAATACGAGTGGATCAAGGTAATATCCTTAATTTTAGGAAAAAGATCGCAAGGGGATGAGAAAGGAAGAATCATAAGCAAAGAGGATACGTCTTTAGTGAGCCTTATCAAAACAAGTAGAACCATGACATTTCTGGGTTGGCACACAAGAGACTAGGACGTAGGAAGTGATGGACATGGTATCACAGATAGAAATAGCAAAGAGGAGGTGGAGACTAAAATTGTTTGGCTTTCAATAAACGTGTTTGATCTTAAACGTGATTCTTGAATCATCTATCCTTTTCTATCTATGCCCTAGTCTCTAGTGTGCCAACCCACAAATTTTGTGGTTCAACATTGAACCAAATCAAAACAAGCTGAACCACAACATTTGTGAGTTGGCACCCAAGAGACTAGGGCATGGCAAGTCATAGACTTGGTATTACGGATAGAAACAGGATAGACGCGGCGGGCACTGGAGATAGTTGGCTGACGGTAGGTTTGGTGTGCCAGAGACGTGATACATGTAGCAAATGGGTGACCATGATACTCAGAGGGGTAGAGCAGAAGGATTTTATGGAGCAATAAAGAGATTGGGATAAGACTTGGAAAGAGTACTGCATAATAATAAAGCAGATTCTGATCAACATTTCCTGCACAAGAATGAAAAGGGGGGGTTGAGAACGACAGTTGGAGTGTGAAGGTGTCATGTCGCTCAAAGGAGCACACCACACTATCTAAATAAACAAGGTAAAAATTGTAGTAGTGAAGGCATGATAGGATGCTACCAGAAACGAGAATAGCCCACGGCAGAAGGGTAGATACCACAATTATTTGGTACACGTTTCGTCAAAGGATCTGCTTTACCTGCCTCTTTGACGAGCTGGTGTATGGCGATACTCACTGACGATGCCGACTACGATGCCGGCGAAACGTTTGGGAATGTACCACGTCCACGGTTCAACCTTGAAAATGATTATGCATACAATGGACTCCGGACTAAGTGCGTTCCTCTAAGTCTTGCTACCAATATGAACACGTTGCGAAAACAAAGTCAAACAACCTCTATACAACGAAAAGAGACTGCTACCATACAAAAAGCCACACCATCTTGGTCTTCATATCTACGAATCTCTTCTTCATGTACTTTTATACGAAATGAAAGTCCTCCCAACAATGTTATTTCAGGAGATTATTCGAAACCGAGTTTCTCTTCGTATCTACGACAAAGATAGTTTAGGGGAATTCCTTGAGCTAATAAATAGAATTGTTGCAAATACAAAATTTACGATGGAGTTAGAAAAGGAAAATAAATGGCCTCTTTTGGATGTATTAGTGAGAAAGAAGCTACTACATTAGGTAGAGACGTATATAGGAAAACCACACATACTGGTTTATCATTTATTTATTCTCTAATCATACATATAGAGTCTATGATAATAAAGAATCATTGTCTAACAGATGTACACCACAGGGGCCAGGATACTGCTAGATTGAGGCATATACTGTTTCAAAACAATTATTCATTACTTTTATTATACAATTACATATCAGTAATATAAGATGTATTCACCCTATTTCGTTTAAGGGGATGAAGGACTGATAGTAAAATTTTCCCATAATGCTATGATTAGAGCTGACGTTTCCATTGAATTTCACATTGCCTTGATTTCCCAAAAGTTGTTCTCATCCAGGCACTAGTGGACTGCAGTTTTAACCTCGCATATGTCTTATTAGCATCCGGGACAGTTCAGAATGTGAGCTTGACACGTTAGCAACTCAGCCACAAAGCCCACAGTGCCCTTGGGTCACAGGGCAATGCAAATTCCGAGGGAGGCCGGGCCTTTTCCGATATCACATTCTTACGTGGGATTGTCGATGTAACAAACATATTTTTGCTATAACAATCAACTATGTCACTTATTTTTTGTTAGTAAATAGAGTTTCAACACTACCAGTAAATCAGTAATATGAGTCCATATGAGTAATATGAGTTTCATCACATTAAACTTAATAGGGTGAATACATCTCATATTACTGATTTGCTGGTAGTCTCGAAACTCTACTTACATACCAAAAATTACATATCAGTTATCCTTAGTAAGATAAGGGGAGTTTGCTATCAGGAGTGGGATAGATAATTGGACAATTCTACTCTGTTCCTGGTTTTGTCTTCCTACCAGCTTGCGAAAAGGTTGAGTCATCTACCGAGGAAATGGATTATAAAACCAATGGACAAAGCTAAATTAACACTTTCTTCAGTAGTTCCTTCGTTTAGAGAATATTCAGACCCTTTTTCTAGATCAAGCTGCTACAATGTTTTGTGCTCATGTGGTAAAGTCTATGCGAGGAGGACCTGCCGACCCATCCAGAAGAGATTATACAAACAACAAACCAATTATAAAGTTCTATATATCCAAAAATCTGAGCTCGCTGAACACATGGCCAATACAGGAAATTCAATAGATTCGTCCAAAACACAACATTTTGCGGGTTACGGGATCAAGGGAGTCTATAAAAATTATGAAAGCGGACAACGTTCTGATTGTGATGAACGAGTGTAGAAAACTGAGTATGAATTATTTTTAGCTATTGGATAAGCTTAATAAGAGGGAGAGAGAGGAAGATAGGTAAGAGTCAATGTGCAAGAGAAATTTTAGCTCGGACTATCACACCTTTCATATCATGTTAATTACACGCACGTAATAGGCAATAGCACAAGCCCAAGCATGATTCGACATGACAGTATCTCGCGCTAGTAACAGTTGCCAGCCCGGACGCATTTCCTGTTCGGGAAGTTAACTTCACTCATTTGCAAGCATGTCTAGTAGGGTTGAAGTAGCCAACCGAATATGGGATGCTTCATTAGGATCGCGAAGTTAGGCGTATAAAACAGCGACTTGGGTTGTAGCTGGACACATTTTCTCTTGGTTTAGCATATTTTTGCACTATTCCATCAAGTATGGATACCTGCTCTGATTATCTTTGTCACAGTACAGACGAAAGCTTAACACAGGCTCCTCGGGGTCACAGGAATTCTTTATACGATACAACAATCTTCCTTCGGTTTCTGGTGAGACCACATCACGAATTCCTTGCAACCAACTTTTCCTTAGAAATGGAAAGTCATGTCACAGTACTAATCTTGAATGTTGCTGTAGTAACTGCATCACTTCTTTATTCCTTCTTCTGTCCATCACAAATGTCAGATTACTTACATTTTATTATGCCTAGAGCTATTTGGGCCGCGCTCTTTGTCATTAATTTATATGCACTTTTTTTTCCCTATCCACTCGTCTTCTTTTCACTTTAGTCACCACCACTTGACAGCATCAATTTGGCCTCTTGTATTCGCCTGCTCTTCCATCCAGGCCTAAAGATTCGCCTCCGCACAGCTGTTCATCTCATCCGTGTACTTTTTCCCGATTGCAATCCCGGTCAAATGACGACAGCTCCTGCAGTATCCGTGACTTCGCCCCATCTCTCCGATCTTGGCCGAGCTCCCGACGGAGCCTCCAGCCTCAGTCGGGCGGCCACAGCCTCATCCACTTCTCCATCTCTATTGCTTCCAGGCGCCATTGCTGACACGACGACCTGGCGGCTCGATGGTGTGACTGACCTCGAGCTAATTGAGCTTGATACGGACAATTGTCGCCATACAACCACCTCTTTAGCTGGTTCTAAACGATCCCTTTACCAATGCACCACAAAATCTGCTGCTGCCATCCGTCAATCCGGTCCATCGGTCACTCGTTTCACCAACAGTACCCCTGCATTCGATGATGACGGTTATCTTGCAGAGTTGTCGCATCGAGCTCTCCGCATACACCAGGCGCATTTGCATTCTACCCCAGCCGACGGTGTTGGCTCTACGATCAACCGTCTCCACTGCCATGAGGCCGACACCATTCCTAATGACAGTCTGGCTTGTTTGATCGCCTTTTCGCTGGTTGATCTTACGGAGGAGAGCTCCCGCCTCCAATTAAATCTGACTTCGGATCTCACAGCTCCCGGTCTTGTTCAACCCATTTGTCACGCCTCCTCCACATCCTATTCCCATTCTTATTCTGGTTCCTTTGCGGTCGAGGGAGAAGAGCCGATTTTAGCGGACGATGCGCATTGTCAAGAGCAAATAGCCAAAATGATTGGACTTCTTGCGGCAGATAGTGCCAACATTGCCGTTCGCAAGGCTGCCGGAGATCAGTTAGCGCGTATGATGCATAGTAAGTGAAAGAAGATAAAAAAGCTTTCTTGGTTTGATGGTTTATTTTATGTATACTGGCATACCTTTCATTCATTTGAGAAGGCGTGTGGAAAGAATTGGTAGATTGGCCTCATCGGATGTCGAATGAGGGTTATCTTGGACTTTTGTGCGAATAACACCTCAGCTCACATTCTTACAACCCCGATGACTCCGTGTTGAGCTTTCGTCCGTCCTGTGACGGACATCGTCAGAGCCAGAGAGCATTATTTACGAACAATCACCAAAAACACTAAACCAAGAAAGGTGGCCAGCTGACATCCTACCCACTTCTTATGCCCCACTTTGAAATCTTCTGAATGGCATAAATCGCATCGATGACATTGATAACTGAGTCGGTCTTGTATGTTGGAAATAGATAATTAAATCTGTTCTGGACTAAGAGTTATACTCATCTTTGGTCGGATAAAGAGGTGAAGGATTGCTAGATGAAGTTTCTCACAATAATATGAATAGACTTCATGTTTTTCATCAAATTTCGCATAGCCT